TTGCCAACTGAAAAGTTAGGAGTAGTTCCTTGAAAACTTTCCTAACCTGCAGTTTGGGATTTTAATAAAAGCAACCCGGAGGAAGAAGACAATAAAGACTTCATCGACATCACCACCCAGAAAACTTTTTTTTTTTTTTTAAATTTTCCTAGATCACCTGGAAATCTGCAAAGTGTCCGTGAATCTCTAAATTGAAAGGCCAAGGGGAGTTTAGTCCAACTGGGCTTCGGCTTTAGTTTTCCTTTCCCTGTGCTCAACCAGTCCAAGCTTTCAGACAGAAGAAAATTGAAGCTAATGGAGATATCAAACAGAGTCACAATTCCGAAGGCTCCTTTTCTGCCACAGACCCACTGTCCATCTGCACGTGTAATCACAGACTTACCGGGTCTTCATTACCAGGGGCTCTGAGAAAAGGGGGAGAAAATTTTCCATCGTTAAAAGGAACCCACTATTATCACTGCTATTATTTGTGTATAGCAACATCATGAGAATTTCTTTCTCTTCTTAAAATTCCCCCACAATATTGAAACAGCATTTGTTGTCCGATTCATACAAATGCTTGAGGCCTTTCTGAAAAACCATTACCATTCAATGGCTAGAAAATTGCTCTCCTTCCTTTAAAAAAAAAAAAAAAAAAAAAAAAAGGCTGGCGCAGCAGCAGCAGCTACACCGACAACAAAAACTTTCTCCTGCATAATCCTCACTCGCAGAATGACAAAGAAATGATATTGACTTACCCTCGAATGGATGATGTGTTTGATAAGGGGGGGACTTTTTTTGAAGATTTCTGTTAGGGAGCTGCACAGACAGCTGCAATTCATGGGCGACGCTGATTGCCAGCAACGCTATGGATTGGCATGGGGTCTGCAGCTCACAGTCCTGATCAATACCCCTACACTCACACGCCAGATGGTTTGGGGAAGGACAAAAATAAAATAGTCCAAATCAACCCACCATTATGTCTTTTTGTATTGCTCTGATAAACCTAGCTGTAGCACAAATGTATTCTGACCAACACAAAACCTAAGGAGATTTTGAGCGTTTGGATAGAAATAGGCATCCCTCTTCTTCACTAAATTTGGGCTAGGTTACTGTTTAGCAAAAACAAAGCTGTTGGGCCCCTTATTCAGGTTGCGTTTACTTTTAGTCTGTGTATTTTCTCTCTGTCTGAATGATGTATAGAGTTTCTTTTTTTTTCTCCCTTAATAACATTTAATGCAGAAATGCATATAAAAATAGACAATAAATTGTTCAGTCTTTTCCTGCAATTGCTAACTTGAAAGTCAGATTTTTTTTTCTTTTTACAATGCAATAACCTGTATTTGTTATTGAAGCTGCATTTATTTATATGCCTTTTAAAAACCATTTAAGTTTAAGATCCTCAGAGAGATGACTGGTTAAACTGTCCATACTCTACGGAGCTAGCACTTCAGATACCACATACACTTCATTTTCTGTACAGTCTGTTTGTGAATCAGATGGGGGAAGCAGATTATAACTTCAAATTAAAAGACAAAATTCTGAGTTACAGAATTGGTGAAGATTAGAGTATGGTCGTTTAAAGAAGGACCAGTTAGAAAACAACCTTTCTTTTCTATTTTCTTAACTATAGGAAAGAAACATCAAAGTTATTCTCAAAAATATTTTAAAATCTTATTAGTATTAACATTCTTAATTTTTTTGAAGTAGAAAATAAATTTTATCCTTTTTTTTAAAAAAAAGGGGGGGAGAGCATATCCAAATCTCAATTAGTAAAAATTAGGGTGCTACCTGAACAAGTACTTTCATTTTCCTTTTAAACGGATTTTGGGTTAAGACATAAAACCTCAAACCATCATTAGAAATCAACGTGAAAAATCTGCTTTAATCTAGCCCAATGAAATTATATACAAAGAAGCCAATATGATTTCATGATTTCCCTGAGATCGCCAATATTGATCGAAGGAAGGGGGAGGAATGGTGGGAGAGAGGGGGAAGGGAGGGAGAGAAGGAGGCAGGAAGCTAGGCATCGAGAAAATGCAACTCACCTTTCTGCTCCCAGGCACATTGAAATGCAATTCCCAAGAGCAGATTTATCTTGGTAGCCAGCTAAATGAGTTTACCATTTTGAAAAATTATTTAAATGGCAATTTATATACTTAGATTTCTGTACAAAAGCAGCATCCGCCTAGGGTCACTGGCCATTCTGTGACCCTGAATCAAGGACACTGGAGGCTACCCTGAGCCCTGGGGTCCATCAGTTAGATGCTTCTCCGCCATGTCCTGCTTTATGTCAGTCACTGAGCACTGGGTGACCACCAGCAGGTTGTACTTTGTGAACTTTTGTTCCACACTTTGTATTTCAAACATTAACTGAGTCAAATTATCCCAAGTGTCCGGCCATTATAAGATGAAGTAAGAAGTGGAAAGAAACCCAGAAGTGGGCAAAAAGGAGAGGCACAAAATCTGAGACAAAAAATTGAGTCATTTTACTTGTCTATGATACTAAAGATGTGAGCAGCCAGAAAACTGTGTCTGGCATAGCCCTGGATATGCTGATTTCTTACCCAGGCTTTGATATCACAGAGAAGACAGCATTTGAAAGAATAATTCTCGAAGTATTGGCCAGAGCTCAATACAGTTGATCTATGAATAATGTCACCATACGTTCGCGCGACAGGATGGAAGGGGGTCTCCATACTAGAAGAGAAAGGAGGGCAGCCAATAAGGTCACCGAGACTAAGAACTGTTTTCTAAATGAATTAAACCTTTCTCTAGTGCCAAGAGGGCACATACAGTATTCCAGGCTGTTCTTGTTTTCTTATCAAGTTTTCTTTAACAGCTGGAAGTGGTTGGAGGGGGCTGTCTTAAGAAGACCCCCTGCTCTTCTTTTGACAGCTGATCAAAAGAAAATAGGTCACGCTTCTCAAACTTATGTCCACCCTGTCCTTAATTACTGTCTCTTTAAACAAAGGCAACATCTGCGCAACCTCAGCCAGCTTGAATCTTCGGAGGCAAACAGAGCGCAACCTGCTTAGGAAGAATCTGTTACTTTTAAGGCTTTCATTGCTGGGTGTTAGCCTCTCCGCCGGGCTTCAACCACTTCTCCACCCCCTCACACACAGGCCGGGAGAAATCACATCCTCTCTCCCCTGGCTGCACTCCTGTCTCTCAACCTTGCTTTACCAAACAACAGATACTCTACAAAGAGGAAGGTGTGCTATTCAGAGCTATGAGCTTTCTGGCGCTACTAGGGATCGGGTCTTTTCAGAAACAAGGTTTCAGTATGCAGATGTCAGTAGAGACTCACAGTCATCTATCCACCGCCAGGATCTGGGACGTTCCTCTCCCGGGATTCGCGATGCTCGTGTGTGTGTGTGTGTGTGTGTGTGTGTGTGTGTGGCGGGGGCATGCGTTAGGAGGAAGATCCTCTGGTGTTCTCCGGACTATTTCCCATACTTCCTGTTCCCAGAAGAAGTTTCTTCACCGTAGGTACCATCAACAATTCACCCCACCGCGCCTGTCCTACACACTCTCCCTTCATTCCAAGTTGCTGGTGGAGCAGCACTTGTTCACCTTGAAACCACAGCTCCTGGGATTCTAGCTATGTTTTGCAATCTAGTAGGGCCCTTCTGAAGCCTCATAACTTGGAGATTTATGAGCTCGCCGAGTAATTAAATGATGTTATTGTGTTAACTGTGCATGCATTACGGCTGCCTGCGCCGCCCGTGGGCCGTCAGCCAGACGCAGCTCGCGAGCAGCAAGGGCGTTGGAGTTCTTTTTTGCCCCGCGGACCACGCACGCCCAAGTCGGAGGAATCTATCGTGCATTAGAATACATTAGTGCTTGCATTTTTAAAGGCTTAACTACTGGCTCCCAGCTAGAGACTTGGGAAGTGGCTTGCTAAGAGACGCGCGTTTGTTTTTACACCAGCACAGAGCGGAGTCCTTCCCTCTAGGCTAACCAGCCTCGAAAAGAGCTTTGGGGTGGAAGCGAAAGGACTAAAGCAATGCCCTTTTCCTCAGATCGCAGCTGCCCAAGAGGGACACAGCACGGCATCTTTCACATAATCTCTCTCCCCTGTTCCCTGTCTAGCCTCTGTCTCCCTCTCCCCACCCCCTCCCTCTCCTTGACGTTTGATTCCTGGAGCAAAGAAGGAAAAAAGGCACCGAGCCGTCAGCCAAACATGAAACGCGGGGCCCCGCCCCCTCAGCATCTATTGGTACTGTGACAGACAAGACCCGCCCTCTAGAACAGCTTTGGCCTCCAAGTGGCTGTCCACGACGTCCGTCGAGCGCCGCCCCGCCCCTAGTCCGGGAGGCTAGGTTGGCTGCCCCAGCGAGCTCAGAGCCCTTCTGGACAGCTCCCGCTAACCCAAACACAAGACGTCGGCGCCGGAGCGGGCTCGGACATGGCGAGGCAGCGCGCCGGCCCGAGCGGCGGGGCCCGGTGATCCCTCCCTCCCTTCCCGCCCCCTCCCCTCCCCGCACGCACGCCCCGTCCACCCCCACCCCGCCCCCACCCCGGGCGCGCCTGCCCGCCCGC